TTTCCCTCCTAAAAGAATGAAAATGTTTTCTCAATTAATTGGAAAATATTTATATTGGTTTACTAAAAATTGGGGCACTTCTGAAACTTTATGCATAAAAAACTTATAAATGAAATTAACTTTGTCTTTTGAAAAGAAAAAGCAAGTTTCAAGCAAAGCTGAGTATTAAATGATTCTGTTGGTGAAAAATGTGTAGGTATTGCTTTTCAGTGAGTAGCAAGTGTCCTACGACATTGTGTCTTCTCCATAGCATCTTCAATATGTATTTATAATACCTATTAAAGTAGTCATAACTGAAAAGCATTTATGCATTAGTCATCTTCCTTACTCCAAGTATAAGCCAAACCATAATAAAGACTTTAATAAACAGCTGTGACATGGCTGTTGTGAGAACGCCTCAAAATTTTGAGATATAGACCATTATTCTGTTCATTTTGGTCTAGATGGGAAAATTCTTTTTACTTTATTTCATGTGAGAGGTCAGAAAGTCAAGAAACCTAAATAGGTTTTCATCAATCAAAGGAACATAAACACTGATGTAATGCAGATTCAGGGGACTTTGAAAAATTATTATTTAAACTGAAAAGAAATGTTAAGAAGAGGAACCAAAACCCTGAAAATGGTTTCAAGATGTCTAGTGGAAGATGGTTTTGATCCCTTTCTAATGTTTGTTTGCTAGAACAGGTTTGGCGGGGGGGAAGCATCCTGTGATTTAGAGTTACTTCCTAATTAATGTGTTTCAGAGCTCGGGTATGATACGCTTTTGAAGGCGATGTTACATCAACTAACAGTTCTAAACCAGGCAAAAAGCTCTTGGCTTATATACTACCTCACCATCTGCAGGAACAGGGAACCATCTGAAAGAATGGTTGTACTGTCACTTCTCTCTCCACCTAGAAATTCAGGAAAGGTATTGGAAATACTCTAATAAATTTACATCCCCGATTTTAGGTTTTTTTCTGTACTTAAAGAATGCTTGAATAAAAATAAGGCATGAAATTTAAGCATAGTAGCTTGTTGCTGCTGTAGTGAGGTTGGTTTAAAACCGCTGTTTGGAGAAACAAAGTAGACGGCGCTGGTGACTAAGGTCGTATCTGACATATCTTACTGAAGATTTCAGTAAGAACACAAGTTGCAACCACAAAATGGTTTTGACCGATTGGCATACGAGTGCTATCAGAGGATCTTAATAAAACTAATTTTATTGATCAAGATCCAGTTTCATCACTGTGATTCTATTTTGTTTGGCTCATACTAAGTTACAGTCCCTGCAGGGAGTGAGGCTGTCCCCATATATTCACATCCAGCATAAAGAGTGATGGTACGCTGAC